TCCCTGCGCGTGGAGGGGGGGTGGGGGGGGGGGGGGGCTGGGGGGGGGGGGGAAGGGCGGCTCTCCGGATGGCCAACGCCGGGCCTGGTGTCTTTGCCTTGCAGTTCAGCCCGAGGTCGTGCAGGTGGAGGCCCGCTCGGAAGAGGGCCGGCAGCCAGGCCTCCTCCTCGTGCTCTTCGTCTTGGTGCAGGCCAGCCCCCCGGCCAACATCACCTGGGTGGACCAGGAGGGCCGCCTGATGGTCAACACCTCCCACTTCCTCATCGTGGACGCCAAGACCTACCCCTGGCTGGCCAACCACACCCTGGAAGTGCAGCTGCGCGGCTGGGCCCACAACTCCTCCTCCTCCCTGGGGGCCTCCGGCAAGGCCCCTGTCCTCAATGCCTCCTCCGTGCTGCTGCCTGGTAAGGGGCCTGGGGGAGGGCCCCTGGAGTAGCTTTGCTGCTGGCAGCCAGAGTTTCGGCCCGGTGGTGGCCACAGGAGTCAGATACAGAGAGGAGGTGGGGGGGGGGGTCCCAGCTCCAAAGCACTTGGGGGGCCCTGACCGGACTGGCCTTCCTGGCTCCCTAGGCTTCCTGGGTGCCCGCATCGACCTTCCCCTCCTGCCCCTGCTCATCGGTGCCACGGGGGCCCTGGGGCTCCTCCTGGGCCTGGCTGCTCTCATCAGCTACGTGGGATACCAGAAAGGAAAGAAGGCAGCAGGTAGGTAAGGGGGGGGGGCGCGAGCTGGCATAGCGGCTGGGGTGGCACACCCGCTGGCTGACCGGCTTCTCTGCCTTCTCTCTGCAGGACTCTCCCTGCCAGCCCAGTTGCCTCCCAGGTAACTTTCCCACCCTGGCCCTTGGATCAGCCCCCCCCCCCTCTCCTGGTGGCGGTCCGTGTCGCCTCCCTGCCTGTCTGTCTGGGCCCCAGCTTGCCAGGTCTCCTCCGGCTGGGGCTGCGGTGGCCACAGGGCTCACCCAGAGGGCTCCCTCCGGAAGGTGGCCTCCGACCTGGCTCGCGGGAGGGGCTCGGCCCTGCTCAGTAGCCTTCCGCTCTTGCCCTAGGCAGGACTCCAGCCCCCTGAAGCCGCAGGGCCCACGGCTGCCACGGGCAAACAGGTCTCTCCCTTCCAACCTCCAGCTGAATGACTTCACACCGGAACCGCCAGGTAAAGGGGACTGGTCCAGTTTTACCATTCTCCCCCTCCCTCGCAGGGCGCCGGGGAGAAGCTCCTGATGCAAAAGGGCCCAGGACTCCCCCAGCCCTACCCACTGTTTCCCTCCCCATTTACAGCCAAGGTCGCAGCCCAAGGAGTGGAGGACGAGGAGGGGGCCCTTTCAGAGCCAGAGGACAGCCTGGCCTCGGCAAACAGAGGTGAGAGGGAGCTTCCTGCAGAGCTTGCCGGCATGACCGGGAAGACCCTCCAGCAACGCTCCCATCCCCACCAGCCCGGAGCCAGGGCCCCCATCGTCAGATACTAGGTGCAGCATGCCAGGCTCCGGGGGGAGGCTTCCGTTGTGGAAGGGTCCCCCTGCAAGAAGAGGGGGCATGTCATCGTTTCCCTGCTGAAGAACGTCTGAGTCCAGTCAGGCACCTGTAAGACCAACGACGTCTTATTCGTGGAGCCTGACTGGACTCAGACTTTGTTCCGCTGCTGCCTGCATGGGGGCTTCTGGCAGAGGTCAGAGCGCGGGGGATCGCAGTGCCCCCGGGTGAGGTACGGGGGCGGGGCACATGACGAAGCCCCGCCCCCTGCTTCCGGCTGCCCCGCTTCCGGCCCTCATTCAGCCAGGAGGAGGCAGGAGAAGAGGGAGGGTAAGTTGCTTATTCCCTGCCTCTCCCCACTCCTGCCTGCCTGGGGCCACGGAGGGCCTTTGCAGGGCTTCCTTGCACTCCCGCCAGCCTTGCAGGTCCACCGCCAGGCCCCTCATGGGGCTCGGCAGTGGAGCTGCAAGGCCGGCGGCGGCGGCTGGGACCGTTGGGGGCGGGGTGTGTGGCCTTATGATGCACTTCCGGTGATGTCAGGGGGTGTGGCATATGCTAATGAGTTCCCCTAGCTCTTTTTCTACGAAACGACCCCTGGCTTCTGGTTTAATGCAAAGGACATTCCAGGCTGGGATCCACGTCTGAAGCGGCACAGCCCGTTCTGCACGGGGGAACCAGGCCCGAGTGGGCGGCAGCCATAGAAACGGCAAAGGCCACATGGGGAACAGGAGAAAGCAGCGTGAGAAGAAAGGCACCGCCTGTGGGACGGCTGTGTCGGGGGGCGGGGCCTTGGGTGCAGTCCCGCAGGCCTCTTCCGGCAAGGCGGCAGGCCAGAGGGGAAACGGCCCCGAAGGGCTTTTTCTAGAAACTATCCTGAGACCAGTGTTCCCTCTAACCTGAGTTAGTGTGAGCTAGCTCACAGGTTTTTAGCCTCCAGCTCTCACACATTTTTGTCTTGGCTCAGGAAGGGTGGCTCCAGAGCAAACTAATTTATGCAGTAGCCAAATCGCTCACTCAGAACTTTAATGTCAGTAGCTCACAAGGTAGAATTTTTGCTCACAAGACTCCACAGCTTAGAGGGAACATTGCCTGAGACATTTCCCTGAGGAAGGCCAGCTAGAAATGCCTGGGGAAAAGCTGAGGAGAAAGATGAGGTGTTCTTATTAGAAGGGTGTGGCAAAAGTGGACTGAGCACAAAGCCGCCTAAAGAAAAGGACAGGCGGCAGATTCAAGACCATCCTTCGGGGTGCATGGAGCCTCCCTGCCAAAGGATGTGCCGCAGGAAGCGAGACGAAGGCCGAAGAACCCCAAAGCACTTCATTATTCCAGGCCAGCCCTAACGGTGGCTCTCCCCCGACAGCTGCTTGGTCACCTTCATTGGCCAAAGGACAGGAGGCCAACCAGCACAACCCACAGCCCTTGTGAGGCTCATTCCCCGACTCTCGTTACGCAGATCTGTTGAGCGAGCTTCGTTCTTGCTTCTGTAGGCATAGGAAGAGGAAGGACCCCCCAAAGGGTTACCGGGCAGGGGACATTTGTTTCTGAACTGCTGGCTTGGCTCGGAGGCTGTGCGGATGGGACCTTGGCAGTGCCCTGGGCAGCAGCTCCCACCGGGCTCCCAGCCAGGCCTCTCTTGCCTCGAAGGCAGCCATCCGTTTTGTAGCAAGGGCTGTGAGGATGTTTCTCTGCACTTGCAGGTCTCAGCCACTTCCCCATGGTCGGGTACATCTACAGAGCCTCAAGCGGCAGCAGCGAAGAGATCTGGCTGTGAGGAGAGGGCTGCCAGCACAGACCGGGCAGAGGAGCCGCGCTGGCACTTTGAGGGCACTTCATCTGCCTGGCATCAAAGAGGAAAACCAGACATGCCAGCTCCCAAGGCTGGTCCCCCCCAAAAGTTGTCTCCGCTAAACAGTACCCCCCCACACACACACACACACACCAGCTGCAGTGCATTTCTGGGCCAAGGAACCAGCAAGACTCGTTTTTGTCCCTCAGGCGGCTGCTTTTCTTTGGTGCAGGGGTCACCCTTTCCCACACGGCTGCTCAACCTGCATGTGTTTGTGGCTGTGAGAGTGGCGGAGTGACTGCACGGCCACGCGCACACGGGCCTCTGTTGTGGCCCCCACCTTAGGGAAGGGCCTGCCTGAGGAGGACAGGAAGGCTCCTATGCAAAACAGAATTCTTCCAGAGGACCTTTTTGCACAGGTCAGTGGGCTGCACTGTACAACATGGTTCACAACCTTACTTGAATGAGTGATGAGGGACTGTGGCCCATGCTGCTGTGTAGAGCTGACTGTAAGTGGGGTCCTGTTATGTAATTTTTGCACGGCTTAATTTGTCACTTGAATCTCTATGCTGTGCTTCAGTCCTGTCTTTTCAGATTTCTGGCTGGTTCTGCATTGTTCATGTCCCACTTGGTTGGTTGTACTGATTCACTCCCATTCGCATGTGAGAAAGGCGGACTACAAATGAGAAATAATTTTTTTTAAAGGCATGAAATGTGACTTTGTAGGTTCCGCACTCTACAAATAAATTCTGTAGCCCATGTATGGCCCCTTTCTTTTCCCTGGAGAGGGTCATGGCAGACATGTTCTCTCCTGGTTCAAGACTCCGGGCTGGTTTGCGCTCCCTCCTCCTCTCCGATACAGAGCAGGGCTGGTTGGCGGCATTCCAGTCCCACGGTCAGAACCGGCTTGCTTTGCCCTCACTCCGTCAGATGTCAAGACCTCCAGACTGCGGGAGCTGCTGGGCAAGAGCCTGGAATACCATCACCCACTCAGAGAACATCTGGGTTGTACAGAATTTATAAGCATCAGAACATTGTCACAGAACAAAACGGAAGTGGGGGCACCCAGGACACTGAGCACTGGCCCACAGCCCCTCCCCTGGCAACACACAGCTGGCAGGCAACCAAGTCCCAAGAGCTGGACGAGGGTCTCAGTGGGCCCAAAGCCAGGCAAACGGCCACAGTGCAGGAAAGGGCGCTGCCCAGAACACATCGCGGTAAGATCCAAATGTCCCACAGAAGCTGGGGGGGGGGAGGGGCTGTTGAACAAAGCAGCAGCTCGAGGGCCTTTGGGGCTGTTGCGGCCATAAGGGGCAGCCCCCCTCGTGGAGTCCTGGCCCAGCAGGAAGCCTTTGGGGCTCCCAGGGCTGGTGCTGGCTAGGCTGGCTATTCCCTGGCACGGCTTACGGGAAACTCAGGTGGTCAGTCTCTCCAGTTGGCAAAGCAGAGTTGGAGGGAGGGCTGGCTGCCTTCTTGCCCTCTGCCGGGGCCTTGAAGTGCTGCAGAAGAAAAAAGGCCCATCAGAAAGCCCCACGATTAGACGGCTTTCCTCTGGCACTGCCCAGCTGTGGGAGGAGCCCCTGAGGGGAGAAAGCTCCTGGGCAGCAGAACGTTTTCCCTCTCCTCTTTCCTCCGCAGCCAGAACGCCTCCTCCCCGCAATGCAGGATCCAGGGCAGGCTTCATACCTGGGAGTTCTTGAATTCAGAGTAGAGCGAGAACAGGGTGTGCAAGGACTGGATGCGGCTCTTGTAGACAGGAATGTCCAGAATAGCTGGGGAGAGCAAAGCCACCCTGAGGAGTTACCTAGGCCAGGCGATACCTGGTGTTCAAGCAGACCCCCACCCCAGGAAGCCAGGCACACGCAGGTATGTGTCCCCTGCTGCTCTGGAGCCGCTCCACTCTAGGAGGGCCACAAGGGACTCACCACAGATCATGTCCGTGTATTCAGCAAGGCTACAGCTGATGTCCGCTGTTGGAAGGCTCACCTGAACAGGACAAAGGGAAGCGGCAGCTGGCTGGTAATCTGCGGCAGCTTCCTCCTCCCAGCTCCCAGTGACAGGGGCTCGGGGGGGGGACGGAGGGAGGGGGGCTGCTCAAGCTCTAAGACCAGGAAAGCTGCCATCCTCTTGCTAGCAGGCCCGCCTACCTTCCCGAGCAGTTCTTCAAACTCAGGGGACCACTCTTGCATCAGCGAGTCTATGTCAGGCATGGGCCTGCAAGGGGTGAGAAGAAAGGGCAGCCTGAGAGCCAGTTCGGTGTCCAGGGCTAAGTGCGCGGAGGACTCTAATCTGGGAGAGCCGGGTTTGATTCCCCACTCCTCCACTTGCACCTGCTGGATGACCTTGGGCAAGCCGTAGTTCTGACAAGAGCTGTCCTTGAAAGAAAGAGCCGTTCCTGCCAGAGCTCTCTCAGCCTCGCCTACCTCACAGGGTGTCTGTTGTGGGGAGCGAAAGGGAAAGGAGTTTGTCAGCCGCTCTGAGACTCCTCCTTCGGGGAGTGAAGGACGGCGGGGGGGGGGTATCCATCCAATCTCTCCGCCTCCTCCTGAGATGGCCCAGCTGCCAGGGCCAGGCCTCCTTGGAAGGGCCCTGAGTGAGGAGGGGCCTCTGCGGGGAGCCAGAGCTGCCTTTGCCCCTACCTGGCATAGTGGACGGAGGCGGGAGGCTTGCAGCGATGGAGCTCGCTGATGCTCTCGACCCAGCTGTCGATGGCCTTGGGATTCTTCTCGGCGTTCTCCAAGCTCTTCACTTTTATCTGCTGCTAGAACACAAAGCCACTTTCAGCCAGCCGCTCTCGCTCCTCGGCCCAAAGAGCTCTGCCGCCCCGTTTGTATCACCGCCCGCCTCACTCACGGCCACGTTGTGCTGCTTGGAGTTTTCCGTCAACCAGAGGGAGAGCACCGTAGGGTCTGACTGCTTAGTCGATGGCTCATCAAGCACCAACAAACCCAGGTTATCTGGCTTCCCATCCGGGCGGGGAACCTGCAACAAACAACCCACCAACCAAGACAGCAGCGCTGACTCCCTTCTGGGGCAGAACTGTGCTCAAGAGAATCTTTTCTGGGAGGAGCTGTTCATCACTGAGCAAATGGATTGTGAAGCAGACCAGGGAACAGAGGTCTCCTGAAAAGATTCTGCAGAACAACTAAGCCATCAGTTGGCTGCAAGACAAACGCTCCTCTGCCAGCACCAGGCAAACCCTCCCCCCAAGTGCCCCCTCCTGCAAACAGGCAGTGGTCTCTGCCACCATGGGAAACAGACGAATGGCCTTGCCCACAAATGTTGTGGGGAGTCAGAGCCCTCTTGGTACCTTCAAGAAGGCATCAATGTCTCCTACTGCTGGGATGAAGTCTGGAATGAAAGGCCTCAGTTTGTGCTCAAGGTCGATCATCTGTGGAGAATACCTGAGAAGCAGACAGTGTCAGCCGAGAGAGCTCTGAAGAGACAGGTCTGCCCACGGGGAGGGCCAAGGCCCCCCCCCCACTCACCTCCGGATGTACTGGAAGAGGTCTTTGATCTCCAGGGAGACGGGCAGGCAGTCGTACTCCGCCGGGTTGTAGGCCCTGAAGAAAGGATGAGCCATGAGATGGGCAGGAGCCAAAGGACCTCGGGGGGGGGGGCACAGCCACTAGGATAAGGGGGGAAGTGCCATGCTGCCCCACAGGTTTAGGGCCAGAGAGGCTGCCTCCCAACTGGGCGGGAGAGAGGCTCCATGCCTTGGGTGTTTCCAGGCCCTGGCTGTGCTATGGGCTGCTCTCCTGCTGGGCTCCTGGATACCCCCATGGGGAAACCAGCAAGGGGCACCCTCCCCTGGTCAGTTTGGTATAGTGGTTAAGTGCCAGTTTGAGAGCCAGTTTGGCGTAGTGGTTAAGAGCGCGGAATCTGATCTGGAAGAGCTGCGTTTGATTCCCCACTCCATATGCAGCTGCTGGTGTGACCTTGGGTCAGTCACAAGTTCTCTCAAGAGCTCTCTCAGCCCCACCTCCCTCACAGGGTGTCTGTCGTGGGGAGGGAGAAGAGACTGTCACCGGCTCTGTGAGTGAAGGGGAAAGGGAATAAATCCGGCCTCCTCTTCTTCTTCTCCGCCGCCCCCCCCCTCCCCTTCCCCGGGGCAGCTGCTGCTGCTGCTTAGACTGCCCCCCCCCAGCGGCCCACGGACGGAGGGCCGACCGACCCTTCGAGGGGGGCCCCGTGCTCCTCGTCCTCGTCGTCGTCCTCCGAGTCGGTCTCGGAAGAGTCCTCGTCGTCGTCCTCGTCCTCCACGTCGTTCTCGCTGAAGCGGCGCTGGGAGGCCACCCGGGACGCCGCCGCCGCCGCCTTCTTCTCCCCCCCGCCCCGCGCCGGGGCGCCCAGGGGGGCCGGAGGGGGCAGGGGCGGGCCGGGGCCCAGGACGACGCCCCCCACCACCTTCCGACGCCGCTCCTCGGCCGACGACGCCGACGCCTTCTCCCGCTTGCCGCCGCCTTCGCCCTCCTCTGGCTCGTCGAACTCCCCTCCCTCCTCCTCCTCCTCCTCCTCCTCCTCCTCCTCCTCCTCTTCTTCTTCTTCTTCTTCTTCTTCTTCTTCTTCTTCTTCTTCTTCTTCTT